GCTAATGTCTTTTAGGGGCGCTTTTCGTACAGGTGGGACTCCACCCCCACCTCAAAACTGCAAACACCCTCTCTCTATAAATGTACAGCCACACTTCACTGCATTTCTCAAAAAACAAACACAAAACAAAAACACACTAACACCACACTTTCTCTCTCTACACTCTACACTTTCTCTCTCTACACTCTAAATTTTCCGACAAGAGAAAATATTTAAAAAAGCAAACCATATAAATGAGAACAGGTGGCGCTAATTTATTTCACCACACTTCAGTAGCTGTATCAAGAATGACAACCGCCGAGGCCACCACCACCGCGAAGGCCACCTTCACGCCGCCGTCCACCGTGCAGCGCTCGCCGTGGCACTCCCCCGTGCCGTACCTCTTCGGCGGCCTGGCCGCCATGCTGGGTCTCATCGCCTTCGCCCTCCTCATCCTCGCCTGCTCCTACTGGAAGCTCTCCGGCACCGACGACGCCGCCGAGAGGGACGTCGAATCCGGCGGCGCCGCCGCCGCCGGGAAAGGCGACAGCAGCTCCGACGCAAAATCCCCGCCGGTGTTCGAGGAGAAGTTTTTAGTCATCATGGCCGGCGAAGTGAACCCCACTTTCTTGGCCACCCCGGCGTCAAGCAGAACGAACTCTTTCAACGACGGGAAAGCTGACGTCAGCGAAGAGAGAGAAAGTAATGAAGAAGAAAACATCAAACAGAAACATGAAGAAACAAATAATGAAGATGAATCACAATTAAGACGAGATTAATTATAAATTAATCCAGTGAAAAAAAATTAATCAGCTCTGTTATATATTTAATAGAACTATGATTTTTTATCACTCCTTTTTTTTTTTAATCCTTTGCTCAATTTTGTAACCCAGGGGAATGTATGTAAATTTTTCTAATGAGATGAAATGAATTAATTATTAATATTTGGGGTAATTAATTAATTAATTAGGGAAAGTAATGAGTTAATTTGTTTTTGCAAGTAGATAAGAGTGACGCATGAAGCATAAAGATGTCAATCAAGCACTAACAACATAAAGTAAAGAGAGAAATGATACAAAGTATATATTCTTTAACTAATGGGAGTTTCTTTTTCTTAATTATAATTATAATTATAATTATAATTATAATTATAATGGGAACACATATTAGATACACTACCATTATTGTAGATATTTTTTTAATGGAGTTGCCGGATTTGGATTTACCACCGGCCGGAATTATGGCCGGAGCAAGGTGGGCCCGACAAGTAAGGGTGCTTTTTTGCCTTTACTTTAGCATGCTCACATGTTTCTCGACGTTTTCTTAAAAGATAGTGTGATATAGGCATGAAATAAATCGTAAAATATCATTTATTGTTTTATTGAAGGTAGATATTTTTTTTTTTAATTTTTTTTAGTGAAGGAATCTGGCAATCTGCTACTAATAATGTAGGTGCACTAGGTGAATTTACACTCCCGTATGATAATTTACAAATCATACAAAAAACATAAACGGTAAATCACATTGGGATTGATCATGGGTGACAAATTCCACATTACAACCGTTGAGAAAATGATTCGAAGACGGGTTGACTTCTTAGCTTTTACAGAAGTTAAAGCAAAAAGTTACCTAATCACACCACATCTAATTTTTATTTAAAATATTAAAAAATTTACTTTATTATAATCACAAAAAGTTACCTAATCACACTTCACACTCCATTTAATTTTTTTTTTTTAAATTTAAAATATTAAAAAAATTACTTTACTATAATCACAAAGACGAGATAAAGAATTGGTTGGTCATTTTTATTTTCATCAAAGAAAGGGGAAAAATACAGTTTGCACCCCTCATGTTTGCACTGATTTCGCATTTGGTCTTTCATGTTTACAAAAAACACATTTGGTTCCTCATATTTCAAAAATTTAACACTTTTAGTCATTTCATCGATTTTCCATTAATACTAACGGAATTAAGTGTGTGCCCGTTATTGCCTTAAATGACGAATTAACGATAAATTGACAGACTAAAAGTATTAATTTATTGAAACATGAGGAATCAAATGTATTTTTTATAAACATGAAGGATCAAATGCGGATAAGTGCAAACATGAGGGATGGAAATTGTAATTGAACGGGGGACAGGAGTGGGGCTGACGTCACTTAATTTTTACTTTTTCTGTGTACGCAAGGTCGATACCTACGTGGTAGATGATGATTGGTCAGATTACTGACTCAGATTGGAATTGGAAAGGTACGTGTAGTCCACTGGATTGTATACAGTACTCGCCACCGCAGCGATCCGACGCCGTACTAAGAAAAATCCAATCGTACATTTTAAAAGAAAAAAAAAAAAGTCGTGTAATTAATCATTATCTATTTTGAAAAAAAAAATTACTATTTGAAAATAATGAATTTTATATTTCAAATATTATTTTTATTTTTATGAACAAATTACGAGAATAAATAATAATTACCAGTAGAGTTAAATTCAGGAGATTGGATCTAATAATATGGGACACGAAATCAATATGGGTTGGACCCACATTGAGTTAGAAATTAAGTCCAGTATTATGAATACATTGTTGGCCCAAATAAGCCTAGCAATTGGCCCAAGCATCTATTTCATGGGAATTTGTCAAATTCAACACTCGTAAAAAAAAAAAAAAATGGTAGATAATTGATATGGGCTTCGGTAGCCCTAAAAGGCCAAGTGATGAATTCTACAAATAAAATTCGGCATAAGGACAAAGAAAAGTGGAAAGCCTGCAACACGACACGTAACGAGGGAAGGCCCACTTGCGGCTTAAACATAAGCGATCACGTCTTTAGGCTCTCCCCGCTGAACTAGGCTCGGCTCGTAACAAATAACACATCTCATTCGCATAGAGAAGCACAACTCGAAGTAGTCACATCACTCCCACGTGTGATCTGACCAGAGACAAAATAGGGGGGCCCATCCCTACTACATGTATAAATACAGTCTTGAAGTACAAGTGAAGACTCCTTGTATTCTAATACACACGACAAGTAACGAGGGAAGGCCCACTTGCGGCTTAAACATAAGCGATCACGTCTTTAGGCTCTCCCAGCTGAACTAGGCTCGACTCGTAACAAATAACACATCTCATTCGCAATAGAGAAGCATAGCTTGAAGTAGTCACATCACTCTCACGTGTGATCTGACCAGAGATAAAATAGGGGGGTCCACCACCCCATCCCTACTACATGTATAAATACAGTCTTGAAGTACAAGTAAAGACTTCTTGTATTCTAATACACATTTATTTGCACTATATTCATATTTTTTTTCTCCACGTTTACGACTGATTTGACTGTCGAAATGCTAACACCATAAAAAATCATTCCATGACACTCTTTATTGCAAGTCTCCCTATGAGTATGTGGATTCCTTCTTTCGACTTTCTTTGATCCAGACCCATCATGTTTCTTTATATTCGATTGAGCCATTTTGACTAGATCAATATTAGTATCTAAAAGAAAGAAAAAAAAGTTTACTAATGTTTCTCCTATACCAACGTGCATCCTCGTTACTAATGTGTCGAGGCAAACTTTTTTTA